CTTGCTGAATCAATTTTTTTTTTTACTCATCAAATTTGCTCATGGAGTAATTATCTCGAAGACAGGAGTAGACAGGGAGTTTTTTTCCCAGAACAAATTTAAAGAGACATTAATATCTTGTAAGACCACATCCCAGATGATTCACTGATAACTTTTTACAAGCATTTACAGAATGGAGTTTGTGTAACACCACCATAGCTAACAAACTACATCATGACAGAGGAAAAGAAAAACAATAGAAAATATTTATTGACATACTATGTGCATCGTATAATATCTTAATATAGCAAAGGTTTGCATTTATTTTCCCAAATGAGTTGTCATTTTGTGCAGTTAAAAATATTATAAAAACACATTTTTTGAAGTTTGCTGTCAGTCTTTAAAAAGTTAAGAACATTAAAGAATCATCACAGCTACCTCTGGAGGTTTTTAACCTAAAAGCTGTCTCACACTCGGAGCAAAAGGCTGGTGCAACACGGACTCAAAAATACTTCCAACTCCCTTGAGATTAGTGTGCAATTTTAAGCTTTCGGTTTAACAATATTCTTCCCCCTCCTCCCCCCATTCATTCTTTAATCCAGGAATTTGTAGATGGAAGTATCTGCAATATTCTGTGCTTTAAAATTAGAAGCAGTTGATTAAATTTCTACAAAGATACCAAACACAAACTGAAGGTATTTGAAAAAATTTATTGGCTAGAATTTGCAGCAACATTCAAAAAATGGAGCCAACAATTAAATGCTTCAAGTCTGAGATTTTTTGTTTGTTGGATTTGGTTGGTTTGTTTGTTTGTTTTTCCAATGGGGAACAGCCTTTACAGGAATCCCAACAAAATGTCAGGTTTGAGAAACTTTCAAGTGAAAGAAACTCCCTTTTCTCACTACACTCTTGATGAGCCAGTGTGCTGGGAGGTTCACACTGCCAAGCCTTTTGGCCACGACAAGGATCTGTTGCTTCCCAAGGACCCTAAATAAGCACAAGTGTAATTCCTGTGACTTCAGGCAGGGATTGTAGGTCAGGGTCAAAACCCCCTGCCTGCTAGTGGTCCCTGCCAGAACCTGAGCCCTCTCACAGCCCTTTCCTTGATGCTGTTGGCTGGGAAGAACAGCCTCCTCTTTAACAGCGAAAGGAGATTGTTCATGTAACTTATGATTTTTACATCTTAATTTATACTGTTATGCCTTTACCAGCTGCCTACTCTTTCTTACAATAGGTCCCTCTGCTACCTCGCAGCCATTTAATCTGTTACTTTTCACACTTTCTTTAGCCCTTGCATACCACCTCCACCTTCCTGGTCTTCCGTATCATCTACTTCTCTTGCTCTCTCTTTCTGTATTAACTGTTGTTTGCTGCCAGGTCATCCCTTATCAGCAGAATAGGAGGAACTCCCCAGCTGCTTCTGTCCTCCATGTGTAGATGAATTATTTTTTTACTTAAGCCATATTCTCTGCTGATTCATACTCCATATAGACTCATAAATCTGCAAAATTTGCATGGTAAATTATAAACTGAGTCAAGGAGTTTCTTTAAGCAATTTTTAAAGCATCAGGTACTCTATACCTCATACAACAGAAATAATTTGGCTACCTAACATTGTGTTTTTCTTTCATTAAGATAATACAAACTTCGACTTAATTTTTCACATTGCAGATAATCCCCTTGAATTCCATCGTATGTCTCAGAGCCCCAAATTAAACACATGCACAAATGCCTTGCAGAAGCTGGTCTGGGTGTGTTAAAAGTTTGTATACGAGGTTTGTCTTTGGCCCAGGAAAAACTTACTTGTTAACTTTACAAATTGCCAGTAGTCCTCTAGCAGAAAAGGGATTTGACTGAGTTTGTTTTTTCCTAAAGCCAGGAATACCGTTAAAGAAAAAGATCTACTATAGCAACTCTTATGGAAAAGCATTAGTAGTGATGAAAACAAACGATGTACAGCCCAGTACTTGAAAGAGGGAAAAATCCTTTGGAGAAACATTACAAGGGCTCTGTCCCCTTCTGGGCTGGGAACCCAGCCTTGGTGCTGGTGGCCTACACAATAGCAGATCAGATCTACTAAAAACACGCCCCCCCTCGTATTTTCTCATTGATAACTAGATACTGACTGCAGTTTTTTAAAGGAAATCTGAGATGATCACGGCTCAGAAATTCCTGTCCCATTTGCAGTGGCTGGTACCAAGAGCTCTGCATGGGACATCACTGACCTCCTGGGGTTGTGCGTAAGTACTCGATTTATGAACTATTTCAGAAGTCCCTGTAGTAAGCAGTCACAATGCCTACATAAAGCATTTCCTTCTCTGTTAGGCCAAGTGACAGACTGAAATGTTGCCTGGCATGCAGATACAACGGGAATAACATTTTGTCCATGTCTTCTTGTGCCTGCATTCCCTTGCCTGAAGGTGCTGACCCAGTCAAAAAGGCACATGCTCTACAAGCCTGTATATTTGCATATGTTTGTGCATGTGCACTCAGACACAGAGGCTTGAATATATAGAGGTTTAATTAATTTTTATATTGCTCTGGCCAACCTCTCTAATATCTTAGTACCATAAAATGAGGCACTGAGCATCTAATATTTATCCTCTGAGGACAAACATTTGTTATCAGCCTGGTATGAGAACTTCAGGTCATGGCTGAGGTATTTATAGCAGATGATTATTATAACAAGACCATTTGAAAGCTGACATCAACATTTTTCATTCTTACCTTGTCCCTGATTCCCAAACTAATAAAGAAATAGATTACATTTCTGGTCCTAAGGCGTACACCTAAATAAGACTCACCAAAACGAGGAATTTACTAAGCCACCTTGTCTTGATCAGTTTTGGACCCAAGTCAACAATGAGAATAATTGTGACAAAATCCATGGACCTAGGTTGACTTATATTGGATTAACAATGTGGTACCTTACTTGTCACAGTAACTATGGAGAAAGGCACTTAAGAAAAACATTACTGAGCCAACTAAAGAATATTGTAGGCCCGTTGCATGGAGCGAGAGTATTAAATACTGGACTGAGGTGATTTAAAATTACTGTCAGCGAAGCCATATGTCTTAATAGAGATGTTAACAACAATAAAAAATAATTAACCTTAAAATCTTAGACATTAATTTCTAAACTTTAAAATTATTAGTTTTCTGCAAACAATCACACAAAATTAAAAAAAAAAGAAAAGTTAAGTGTTCCCTGGAAAGGCTGACATTAAAAGAAATAGTTTCTTTTAAAGTGAGATCTCTTCCAATTAATGAAATATTGTTAGACTTGTGGTATGGAAACAAGTCTTAAATTTTTATTGCTTTGGCAATAATAAGACAAAGAAAGTTGCCTGCACATTCGAAGTGTCAGGTTTTATACTTTCAATCATCTACAAAAAAGTGTGTTATTAAAAATGATCTTATTTCATCAAAAGATATTACAAGCATATTTTAAAGATACCAACAAACAAATAGTATTTTAAAATCTTGTTATATTTTTTTATTCTGCACAGGAAGAAAATGTATTTTGGTCAGCAAAAACTTATGATCAAAAAAACGAAAAATTGTGGTGGTGAATAATAAAAGTATTGAAACCCAAAGGACATGATCGGAAATACACAGTATCATTTTATGTTATTAGATTCACGTAGCACCATTTTGCGCTTCAAAATCTTGATATAAAATAAAAGATATAGACTTGCGTAGCAATCAACAATAATTTTTTAAAAAGTGATTTGTGTTTGAAGGTGTGTAAAAGTCCAGCTCACTATGTGTTTTCATTAAATATATGATTCAGCAAACACATTGAACCAAATTATTTGCTAACTACTGCTGCTACCTAACAAGATATCTGTTATAATGTACAGGATAGTTCTTCTGAATAGAAGGTGGTATAATTTAGTTGGGAGAAATTTTTAGTTTAACCTTGTAACTCATGTTGAGGTGGAGTCTGAATATGACATGATTAAATCTACTCATTTTGCAAAACCGTATAAAGCCAAACTAAAATACTGCTTTCCAACTCCCAGTCTAATACATACTATCCTACCTATGAAGTTGAACTCATATAAAAGTAATTTATAAAAACTGCAAAAATGGTTAGCACCCAAAAAATCTGTCATCTGTGAAGCTCTAAATGATTGTCAAATAGCCACTTCAGAAGTCAGTGACTTCTCCCAATGGTAAAGCTAAACATTTGACTAGAAACTAAACCTACAGCTCTCCAAATACTAATTGGAATGCAAATGCCTGTGTTTAAGACTTCTGCAACTTGTCAAAGAAGATTTAAAGGCATTAAATTATGTCCTGATATTTCTTCTTCTTCCAAACATGGAAACTTCTACGTTCATTAATTTCTTTTTGCTGTTTTTACTGAGCAATGAGGTGAAACTTGTCTTTAAGGTCTAACCCTCAGCTACAGAAAATTGGGGGTTCCATGGAAGTGTTCCTGCAGCAACCAGAGGAGGAAGTTTTCCAAACTAACAAGTATGAAGTAGACTGCTGCTTCTCAACATGGAACTGTGGTCTTTAGAGAATGCCAAAGTAATGTCTTGGTCTCATGCAGTTCTCTGGATCATTCTGCACATATAGTAATGTGCTGTATGCACAACTTGCATTTGAAGAATTGGAACAGAACCCTGAGAAAAGCAAATCCATTGGAAAAATAGATATTGTTTAATAATACCAGTTTGAGATGTTTCAATCCTTCTCTTGGAAAAAAAATGACAAACAAGTGTAGTCATTTTTTTTCTGATGTGAATTATTTGAATTTATCACAATTGCAAACATAAATATAATTTGGGATTTTTAAGTGCATATCTAGGGTTGATTACAATTAGAAATATTTCGTTTGGCAATGCTACCCATCCCCCAACAATTCAGCGTTCCTCAAGTCACCATAACATTACTTGTGAGCTTTGAGTTCAAGAACATTCTGACGTGGAGTGACGTTCTTCCAGTAACTGCTGCAGCAGAATTTCACTCTATAGTAATACGGGTGCTAAGCGAGTCAGGTTCAGCTCTCCTCAGCCTTGTGTGCAATTCTCATCATTCCCATGTATCCAGAAACAAATCTGGGCGTATTTGAGAGGAGTAATTCTTACTGCTACATTGTAATCCTGCTGTTCACCATTGACATCCACCCACTGATGGCCTGAGTAAACCGCGATGATCTTGCGTTTCCACTTCTTTTTGTTCGGCTCCTTAAGACGGAGATAGATGCCAGATCCAGTGGAGCCGGGCTCAGCATCACAGTACTGATAAAAGAGATCATTGGACTCATCAGAAATGCTACAAAATCTATAGACCAGTTGCCCAGATCGATCATTGTCAAAACCTGAGAAGTGGATCATGCTCCCAGGCATCATTTTGATTGTTGGGCTGATTCCCAGCTCCATGTATTTCCTTTTGTGGGGACGCTTGAGCTCAAGAACAGCATAATCATAATCCAGGGCAATATCCCCAGAGACACCCTTAAACCAGCCTTTCGGGATGTGGGTACTCTTCACCCTGGTCCACTGGAAGGAGGGCATGCCATCTGAGGTCCCCTGCTTCCTCCCAGATCTCCTCTGCTTTCTCCCACCACCTTTGGATTGTCGCCTTAGTTCTGTGGCAACTTCGGGATCCTCTTGGGCCGCAGAAACTTCTCTCCTACTTCTTTTAGCACCTTTGCGTTTTCTGCCGTCGCCTCTGGATTTCGTCTTCATCAGGCCTACCCTCAGTCTTTTGCTGCCCTTAACATAATCCTTGCCGTTGTGCAGACAGTGGGCAGCTGTTAGCACGTGCTTAGGGGAAATGAGAATGCCACTACAGCCGGTGGAGATCTTCACAGCTGTGTTGAACGGAAAGTTGGTTATAAACTTCTTGTCATAAATGCTGAACCTACTGTCCGTTCCATATATCTGCCTCTTCTTTCTCGAAGACCTTCGTGTGGTTGTGTTTCCAGCTGGGTCAAGCACTAGTCCCAGGACATTCACTTCAGTCAGGGTCCGTGTGCCGTTTTCAAAAACGGTCTCATAGGATAAGAGGTCCTTCAAGTCAGACGAGCTTGGCACCGGCAATTTTCTTTGACATTCAATTCCACATACACTGTTCAGCTCTAGTCTGGTTTTTGCTTCAAATTTAGGGCTGTCAAGGGAGAAAGTTCTTTCGCTCACAATCTGGGGAATCTTCTTTAAGTGCCAAGTAAAATCTTGTTCAGTTTCTGTTCCATTAGTGAGACCCAATATAGGTATGAAAAGTATGAATAGCAGTAACATGTGCTCCATTTTATCTATTTTTTTCTAGAACAAGAAAGAGAGATTTGAAAATACGCGTTGGAAATATACATAGTCATCTTAGTATCTTCAAAGTATAATCATGCAATATTAACACTGACATCAGTGGAACAGAATTTAACACTCTGCACAAAATAGAAATGCCTCAGATATTCCCTGTATTGCCTCTGACGCTTCCAACGGTCTCCAGCAAGATGGGTGCAACAAGTCAGCCAGCATCCATGCCGCGCTACCTACTGGAAGGTGGAAACAGCTGAGTTTTACTCGCTTTTCCCTCAGCAGGGCAGTAGCCTGAGTCATTCCACTCTGTACAGCGCTCTTTTTTTGTTTATCCCATAGGAATGCAATTATGTTTTACGCTTCTGCTTCTCTTCTCTATAGCTACTGGTTGTAGGTAGAACATGGTTGAAAACCACCAATGTATTCAAAAGTCACATTCAAAACTTGGGATCCAGGCAGAGATGGACAGACAGACTACACTCGTGAGACTTAGGAACCCTTAGGAACCCAGACCAATTGTGGTCTTTCATGTAATGGCCAAAAAGTAGCAGCTTTAAGTGACCTAAGAGTCACCAATCGTTCTGCACTACCCACCCAGCTAAGACCTGTGAACCTGCCTGCTATGGAAAATGGCACTTTGCTAATTGCTCTCCCAAGGAACCAACTTAGAAAGATCTCCTTTCCCCTTTCAAAGTTTTTGTTGTCTGGATGTGACAGATGGAGCAATTTGGGCACCTAAACAAGGTGGCAAGTCCCATTTTAAATGCTTTCAGCTTTTGCTGCTCTGAAAGCATGGGTCTCCTCCAGATCCTGCGTTGTATCTCCCTGTGTGCCGTGGCCACCAAAACCTATGTGTGGGTGTCTGAATCTCTCTCAGGATGTCAGAGAATTTCAAAATCCATGGTTAGAGGGGCCAGACGAGTGAGGAAAGTAGAAGGTTGCTGGTCTAGAGGACTCTCCTGGTTATACACATGCAGGAAAGCCCAGCCAAGTAGGAGGGACAAGTCTGCTGACTCATCACATGCCTTTTTCCTGCAGGATCCCACAAAGGCTGCAGGAACCGTGCTGTCTGGTCACATGTGGAAAGCCCCACCTAGATGGGGTGATGGACCACACAAAGAACTAATACTTTAAATGGGAAAGACAAAAAGCAGCATTATTCCCATCTGTAGCTGGGAAACACGCAGAAAGAATGTAAAATTGTTAGAAGTCTGTGGCAGAGCCAGAAACTGAACCCAGAAGTCTTGATTCTGAGCTCAAAACATTGAAAAGACCATTTTTCTCCTTTGGCAGCAGTGATGTCAGTGGCATTAACCAACTACTGGCTGCTGCCATTGGGAAAGCTACGCTCTGTTCTCATATTCTTCATTCCAATTACATGGAAACCTCAGCTGCGCAGAAAGAAAGGGCCTATGATTAAACTTTAAAAGCCAAGCAATTCAAGGGTATGTCTGTGGTTAAGCTCTCTGGTTTACATTGTAATGGCAGTGTAAACCAGGGCAAAGATAACCGCTTTCCTTTTCTTGAGCTTAGTTTAGAATAATACGAGTACTGCTATCCAGTGAAAGAGCCTGGTTACAAGCTAGCTAAAGATCTAGCATGAAAAAAGAGGAGTATGTGTGCAACGTGGAAAAAGAAGTGGTAACATCACTTTAAAAGCTGACCATGGACCAACGACTCCCATAATTTTGAGGCATCTTCACCATATAGACATAGTTCTTGTCTATAAGAGGTAACAATTATCACTTTTTAGCTAACTAAGTGCTATGGTTCAAACACAGCTTGCGGCTTCTGATGCCAAATTCAGAGAGTGGTTTTCTTTTAGTGTAATTTTTAATGCTTTTCACCTTCGCCTGCATGGAACACCAACTTTGACCCGGAGTTTACTTACTAGGATATATATAAAACACATTTTACAATACAGTATAAAGATACCCACCCTGGCTTTAAAGTAGCTAACTCAGGTTTTGGAGAAGATGCGTGGACTTTCATAAGACATCTGGAGATTACAGTGACTCACAGGCCTAAGCTCTGGCGTGTATATGGTCATACTAAAAGATATCTGAAGGTTTTGAAAGCAGAGCAGAGTCATCCCAGGCACAAGATTTTTTAGAGAGACACCAATTGACCATAACAGTCTAGGTTATTGGTATAGCAAAAATGCACATATTTAAACATTAACTTTTATATACAAAGTTACCTTCGAAGTATTGTTTTGGTTATTGATCAGTTAGCACTAAATTTGAAGAGGAATGATAATTTTACATATCTATGGATAAATGATAAGGTATCAAAATAAAGAAATATTATGATGAGAACACAAGAATAGCTTTCATAGACTGACCAAAGATCCACCTCGCCTAAAATCCTGTTTCTGACACTGCCCAAAGATGGATGCCTAGGGTAGAGCACAAGAATAGGGCAACTATGTATGTCCCTCCTCCCTCATGGTCTCTTAGCTTACAACCAGTTGCACCTCATGGACTTTAAACCAGAGGTAGTCTCTGTAGTGTGAGGAAACCTCAGTGGATTTCTCTTCCATAGTTGCCCAGTCTTCCCTTGAACCCATAAAAAAATTTGGTAACCACAATGTTCTGCGTCAAGGAGTTCCACAGTTTAATTACATGTTGTATGAGAAAGCATCTCCTTTTCTTTATTTTCAAACTGTCACAAACTAGCATGGTTTGATGATAAATAATGTGATATTAATGCAGAAAAGCCAGTTTTAATTTGCTTTTCTGTTATGTATAGCTGTTGAACAGATACAAGGTATTAAGAAACACAGTTCTTCTGCCAGGCTCGAGAATGCCTTTTCTACGTTCTTTCCTAAAATACTCCTCCCTTTCTTAGCTCTTCCTCAGGGTCTGGGTATTTGGTATTTCTCTGTAGCTGAATTTTGTGAGCCATAAGGAAAGTTCATTCACTAACTGCTAGTTCATATAGAAAGTTTTAGAGGTGGTTGGGTTGATGTCATTCCACTGCGATGGCTGAAGTCTACCTAGCTGGACCCATAACTAGCTTTGCTTTATAGAGAGACTTTCTGCAAGCAAATGGGTGGAGTACTATGGCTCCCTTCCGCCTCTCTTTAAAAAGAAAAAAAACAAAACACACAACCCTCAATAGATGCATTGGAGCTCCCATTTGAAGTACTATACTCAAGTGCTCACTACTTACAAAGGCAGCCTTGGAAGCCAAAATTTTCATCATCTATAATGAACCACTTGTTGCCTGTAATTAGGTAACTACGCTTGAGCAGAACTGGAAGAAGTCCAAGCTGAGGAACTTGAAGAAAATGGTAATTCTCATTACAGACCAGAGCAGTGGTCCTACTAGGCAGCATTGTCGTTTACAGCCATGCACTTAAGCTCTGTTTACTAACCCCATCTCTACCATTAAAGCAAGGCCAGCTTCAAGCATGGGCAACGTCAGCGGTTGCCATGGCCCAGTACAGGTTGCTGGCAAGGGGGGAACACAGGGGTTCCTCTTGCCAGATGATAGGGATGGAAATGTGTAGACAGCTGCAAAGACACCTTTGCAGGGTGAGAGAAAGGGAGACAGAATACATTCTCCAGAGGAAGGAGGAAATGCCCTGAGAAGGCTACAAGCTGGATGCAAGAAAAAACTCTCAACATCTTACTCACGCTTTCTGCCACGCTGTTCTCCACTCTTCTTCCAAACCCCAAGCTGCTCTGCCCTCTTCTTTCCTTTGCTCCTTTCCCATACAAATTTTGGGTTGGCTTACAGTAATTAGAAGCCTTCAGTCAGCTCTGTCTTTATGATAGGATGAATTGCTTCAGAGAAGACAGAAGATGGAAACTAGAAAGTGAGAGAGAGATCCCCAGCTCCGTGAAAATGTTGAAATTTTTCCTCCAGTTTCCAAACCCAGCTGGTAACGGTGAGGACTCCCTGTTTGGTGGCATTCCAGCTGCCAGGCGTATGTATACAATTAAAAGTATTTTCAGTTCTTCTCACTTCTTGCTTCCAACATCAAATCTTTCTGCATTCACAGGACAAAACCTACCCATGTCCTAACTTTTCAGGATATCCTTCAAATATTTTGTCAGTATGACCTATCTTACTCCAGCAGAATGCATCTCAAATGCTCAGGGGAAGGCTTGTAGTCAAGGAGAACTAGAACGTGTTTCTCTTCAGGCTACCCCAAAGTGAATTTACACGTCGGTGTAGCTCAGACAGAAGAAAAGTTGTGTCCAGCTACCTGGCAGCGTTTTATCTTTATCTGTTCAGTGCAGCCTCTGCTCTGGGGTTTCCTTCTTATTGTAGGAAAGTCGGCACATTTCAAACTAAGCTTACATAATTTTAAATGCAGTTTTCAGACCATAAAATATTAGAGGTTGCTACACTAACCAGCTCCTTTAACTGCTTTTGGCCTTATTCTTGAAATGGCCTGAAAGTTGGAATTCACAGTTCTACTCTGACAAAGCAAAATAGAGAACAAATTTTGGAAATCTCACACTCCCTGGAAGAAACCATTCCCCTAACCTCATCCGCCACTGCGCTTTTCACTCCTCCGGGTGTGCTCACTCTATAGATCGGTGCACAGATGTCATCCTCCACTCTGACTTACGGAGAAAACCCCACTGCAACTCCTGGCTCTTACAAAATTTAAGAAGCTTCAGTAGGCGTAAGAAGAGCTAATTTTACACGGCAGGCGTGACAGCTCATTTCTGAAATCACACACGCAGGGGGAAATAAAGAAAGGGGGGATGAATGGCAGGGGGGACAGGGGCTTCACCTCCGACGAGGG